CATTAATAAAGCTTTAAGAAGATGGATTGGGCAATCCTCTTTCACTGGCAACAGGCAGTTCTGGAATGCTATTTCCTGTGTGCATTTTCTGGAATATTTGGCTCGAGGGGAAGGATAGTATATCAGTTGTAAAATGCAGATGTTTGAGAAGTCTTTATCTATGGAGTAGAGGAATACTGTAACTGACATAGATTCTCTGATAGACTTATTGTATTCCTTTGACATATAGAAGGAAAGTATCTTTCTTCCTTCTCTGATGTACTCTTTTGTGTACCTCCTTGGTACTTTTCAATAAAACCTTTACCTTTTCATTGAAAACATCTAGGAGCTGTGTTCTTAGTTTATATCTCGCAAGAAGATTTTAGATTTTATCTAATTGAGTTTGGACATCACTGTGGATCAGAAGTTCTGTTTCTTTAATTTAATCATCTCTCTCTATTTCTTTCAGACCCTCCCTTGTGTACCTGATTTATCTTCACAACATAGCTCACAATCTTTGGAATCACTGCGCCTTGGAAAATATACAGAGGTGAGTATACTTTTTTTTACTGAATTTTTTTTGGTTATCTCTTTGATAAACTCATAGCAACCTACTCTTGCAGTGGTTTAATGATGTATTCTCAGTTGATATTTCTGACAAGTGTGAGAATGTTCTTAGTCGACTATCTGAAAAGCATGGATGCAAAGTAAGTCTACTTCTATTATTCCATTCTTCATAGCTTTATCTGGGACTTTGGCACGTATATTTGCTAGCTTTTGGTTTAGGATTGCCGGAACCATTAGCATCAGTATTGTAAGTAACTATTTTCTACATGTTTGTAAAATATTTCTGATATTTTTCTTTATCTCATGGTTGAAGACGGTAGAGATTGTTATACCAGAGTTGCATGAGATGCGGGCAGCTCATATTGTTTCTATCGGGTCTGAATGTTTATGCAGCATGAATCCAGACTGTGAAGATGGGTACACACTCTAGCTTTGGACATTTTATACATCACATTGCTTCTTACTAGATCTCGATGTCTTATTCCTAAAATTGTTTCCTGATATTATCTTAATTATCTGTTTTCTTCCCTTTGTCTCCAGGAAAGGACCACGATTGACATATGATACTCGCACCAATCTGGCACTTTTCCGTTCATTTACAGCAGCAGATTATGTTGCTGCTCAGCGACTTAGGTGAGATATTTTCTTTTTCAAGCTAGCTAACGAAATCAATATAAACCTCTAGTCATGAATTTATTTCAGAATCGAACTGTGTCATGGTCTAGAATACTGTGGCATCTGAAATTACCGAAAATGTCATTACTTGTAGCTTACTGTTGGATTTTGCACTTTGTTATTTGCCAAAACTTTTAAGTTGATAACTTTGGAAACCTAAACAAGGATTTTGCTCAAAGAAGTCAGATACACTCCAAACCAAGTATATGATTGGTAAGACATATGATGGAGTATTTAATATCCTGAAAGTAAATGTTTCATACAATCATCATGATGGGATGATGAATTGGGAAAATGTTGACTGCTTAGGCCAAATATCTTCTAATTTCTATACTGTTCACATGTTATGTCTGTCTTTCTCTAACATACTGTTCACTAGTTATGTCTGATCTTTTATGCTTTGCTTGCGCATATACTCTGTACTACTAACCCTTTCAATTAATATCATATGCATTTCTATTTTCTAACAGATGTAAGAAGAAATGCAATCTTTGAGAAGTACAAATAATATGATTCAGACATAACTCTTCTCTGGGTTGTTGCAGGCGGAGGATAATGTATTTCCATATGGAGATTTTCAAGAAGGTGGATATCATTGTGACACCTACAACCGGGTAGGTCAAGAGAAGCCTCCAAAATTTGCAGAATTATCTTTCACATCTTTCACCAAGGCTAATAGTATTCCAGTAAATGAACGTATTTTCCCACCTTTTCATGTGCACGCATTTAATCACTCATCCCTAGCTTTTCAACTAATTTCCCTGTTTGTTTTGTCATGCACGGTTTTTGTTTTTTCCACTTCTTTTGGTTGGTGGGACTTCTGTGCCTGAGATAATATTCTTAGCAATGAAGCGGGCACGTGATTGACTTGGTCACCTAGATGCCTAAAACATTATACGGCAAGTCAAGGATGTGTAGGAAGGAGATTGGTTCATTGATTCATGTCAATTTTGATATATGACATCCTGAGATTGTGTGCATAGGCAGTTCATAGTTCTGTATATTCCTAAAACCATCTGTGGAACTTCTTTTTCAGCATGACAGCGCCCAGAATTCCACCAAGTGCTCTTAATGTTGGGGAGACTGATTTGCAAGTTTCAGGTTTTTTCCTACACTCGATCTGTTTCAAGATATTATCAACTATAGAGCTAGTAGAAATTGTCCTGCTGTTTATCTACTATTTTCTTGGACAGCTTACTGTATTGCAGTTTCAGGTTAGATTCATATTTATGTATTCTTTTTTCAGGAAATCTTATGCGGTTTATTATAGCAGCAAATCTTCTCGGACTTCCTGCAGTTTCTGTTCCTGTAAGTTATTTCTCCTCTATCCAGGGTGGTTAGTTGACCAATGGTCATTCAGGGATGGTACTCTCTTGAACCTCATGGATTGTTTCATTGGTTTACGGGAGGGGTTTGTGTGAAAATAGAAAAAAATGGTTCAAAATTGGCTTTATTCTCTCCACTTATCCCCAAAAAATGCTTTATCCTCCCGAAGCATATCAATCCATAATGTAGGATTTGTTTATCCCGTTCAGAATGAGGTGAGCCTAGTTTCACCTGTTATAACAATGATGATAATCACCATCTCATAACGAGTTGCATGCTCAGGTTGGTTATGACAAGCAAGGGCTTCCCATAGGTATCCAACTCATTGGCCGACCCTGGTGTGAAGCTTCCATTTTGCGCTTGGCTGCTGCCATTGAGGTAATTGAGAGCGATCATGATCATTCAAAGCTTGGAACAGTGATTCCTAAGCAGAAATGACTTCAGTACCAACGTATTTTACTTCCTCTTTTTCAGGAAACTTGTGCCGAGCCCAAGAAGAAACCACTGCAATTTTATGACATTTTGAAAGGGAACTAGAAATCAAGCTCATGGCGTTGGAAGCTCAGGCTATAATGGTAACACGAGTCATGAAGGCGTGGATTTATTTATCGGGCTTTTGGTGATTTACAGAAACAATGAACTTGAAACTTTTGTCTTTTTCCAAATGATCTTGAAACTGACTATACCGAGTTTGAGGTACCACATAATGAAATAATGCTGATATTTCTCCAGCAGAAGTAACGGCCACCTCCCCCTTCTTTTTCGTGGTGTTCCTCTTCAGCAAGTTTTGGCTAGTATGTACTTAAATACCTGGGCAATAGTCTGAAAGAACCAGAGTCAGGCATCATGTAGAAACCAATATTTGCGACGTTTGTTATTTACCAACAGAAGAAACACCTTCTTCCTCTGCAACTTTCTCATCTGCAGCTTCATGCAATAGATTAGCCCCAGAAGGTATGCAGTGAAATGTGTGCAAAACAAAGAGGTGGTGTAAGTTTCAAATCTGTAACTCGCAACCATTAGCAAAAATCATTTGAGAAACTGGACAGCACAACTGGGGCAAACTTGCTAATATGGTTTTTAGTTGTCATCAAAAACCACTATTGCAAAGAGTTGCACCAATTGGGAAAATATAGTCCATTGGCTAGTTCCTTATACAAGCAGTCCCTATTGCCCTAAATTCCAGATTGATCCTGCGTTTTGGTAGGGGTTAATAGAGGCGGAGAAAGAAATATTCAAGAGTATTCTCTTTTATAGATAAACAGTTGCCCATTTCTCTGGTCTGCTTAATGATTATGGTGAGTTTGTCAGCAATAAAAAGCAAGAGCAGGGGCAGCTTGCAACCCAGATACAAACACAATAAGTTTTGCAAACTAAAATCAAATAGCTAATCATTAATGCGAAATAGCAAGGTATCTGGACAAAGGACACATAACTACTTGGAAGCAGTTTAAAATTAACAACAATAAGACAATGTTTTTAGTAACTGTTTAACATGACTATCTCCTAAAGGTTCCCTATTTTTTTTTCTATATTTCCAAATTATGTACCGACTCATTGGAGAAAGCATTGTGCTTATGCTTTCATGAGCCGAGGGTCTATTGGAATAATATGTGGTTGTTGTTGTTCATTGGAGAAAGAATTTGCCAGTAAAAGGAAAAGGACAAGCAAATTATTCTTGTTTTGTAAAAATATTGAAAGAGAAGCACGGGGCGGGACAAGAAGATTAGAAAGCAATAAGCTCATTTCTTACCTCTCCCCCATGGTAAAAGCATCATTGCTTTGTCCATATTTTTTGTACATTGGTTTGGTTATAAGTAGTAGTTACATTGGTTTTGACATTCTCTGCTGTCAAGTATTTTTGGAGTACTAAATTTTGACAGTTTTTATTGTTGACATAATGAAATATCTCCTTAGCTGCAAATAGTTTTTATATTATAAGGTTTTAACGTAAATTTTGGTTTTCTATTGTTTTTCATTTCTTCTTTCTTCTTGCTAGTAATTCTGATTCCTTATCTCTCTTCATTTGTAACAATTGTAGAGGTACTTTGAGCATAGACAACTAGTGATCTTGACCAGTCCAACCTATAAAACATGAATTTTATAATCGGAAAGTATAGTTAAAGTAATATTAAATTAAGCATAAAGTTTAAGAAAGAAATAAAAAGATTTTGAAATGTACGATCTATAACAAGTTATAAATATTTATTTAGTTATATATTATCTTATTAACAGTAAAATAAGTAATTTTAAATTAAATTATTTTTAATATATAAACTTTGTCTTTTTTAACAGACTAAAGAGTAAATAACAACATGTATAATCGTAAAGAGTAAATATTATCACATAATTTAGGCGGGAGTTGGGAGGGAAAAAGAAGTAGTTAAACTACAGTTTAATTTTTTAATTTTTATTACTTCTTACAAATAATATATGGATTAACTCCTCTTATTTGAAGAGGACCCCATATTTTGAAATGGTTCATTTATGTCCCGTTTGATTCATGTTTGAAGGAGATCAGAAATGGCGTCCAAGTTTACCCCAAAGCTTTTCTCATGGCTTATTCTACCAACATTGTTACTCATTTCTCTCTACTCTTTATCTCTTCCTCTTTACACTCCCACTCCAAAACCCAAAATTCCCATCTCATCCTCTTGTAATCTCTTCAAAGGCAAGTGGATCAACGACCCGAATCGCAAACCCATTTACGATGAGTCCTGCCCGTTTCACAGGAACGCCTGGAACTGCCTCAGAAACCAAAGGGAAAACATGGGTCGGATCAATTCATGGAAATGGGTACCCGACAAGTGTGATTTGGCTCGGATCGATCCGGTTGAGTTCTTGGGTTTAATGAGGAACAAGAATATTGGGTTTGTAGGGGATTCGTTGAATGAGAATTTCTTGGTTTCGTTTTTGTGTATACTAAGAGTAGCTGATTCTGGTGCAAAGAAATGGAAGAGAAAGGGGGCTTGGAGAGGAGCTTATTTTCC